AGAGCTGCTTATATAGGCTTGTAATGATGATTGACAAGACTGAATGATTAGGCTCCTCCCGAACCTATGTTTGGAACTTAATATAATATAATATAATATAATATAATATAATACAACATTTTAATGTTATTATATTTATAATTGATATAATTCGCAAAAGTAATGCTATATTTTATTAGTGATATTTATATTCAATATTTTATAATAAAATTATTTAATGTACTAATATTATTTAATGTACTAATAGATTTATAACTGATATGATTTGTTTAATATAATATATAAATCATATCAGAATCCTTTCAGAGACTTTGCAGGTGGCAGCCAGTCAGAAGCCGATCTGGCACTCCTGCACCAATGGCATTGCAGAATGTCTGTAAAAGGGGGCGGGGCCTGCATTGCTGACCACTGGTTACACTGACTCAGCTGAAATGTCGCGTGTCAGGACTGACCCCTCTGGCAGCAGAGTCACCGACGGACCATCTCTGACTCGCGGAGCACGTCCCTTCTTAGAAACATGTCCCGCCGCTTCTGGACTAATGTTACAGTTATGAAAGTGTCCTCCATTCCCATATTTAGATCCATGACATTATGTAAAAGGGGAGAGAAGCATCTTCACGCACTTCTGTGTTTTCACCTGTTGCGAAAGAAAAACTGTGGTATCATGGGTGAATTATATTTGTTTTAGGGCTTCTTTTTAGATATTTTAAAGGGGCCATCGGATGCAAAACTCACTTTTACATGTTATTTGAACATAAATGTGTGTTGGCAGTGTGTGTACACAACCAGCCTATAATGATAAAAACCCACCCAGTGGTATTTTTTAATCTCTAAAAATAATATCCCCTTTTTCAAATCAAGCCATTCTCAGCTTCTTGTCTGTGCGACATCACACAGGCCAAGGCCACTCCCACGATAGTTGATTGACACGGCCGTCTTACCTTAGACCCGCCCTGAGTGAGCTGTAACAGTCCGACTGCCATTGTTTCGACGCCGGAGCAGGGACGTAGACAAGAATGGCTCCTAAGTGATTGAGGTGTTTTGTTGTTGGATGTAATAATGAACATAGCAGTTGTCATTTACTCCCGACATCTGAGCCGCTGAAGACGCAGAGGATTAACGTTACTTTCGTTTTTGAAGGGAATGCGCCCTCCGATCTACCTAAATGCGTCTATGTTCGCGCAAATCATTCGTGATCCAGCTTCACCTACAGATGAAGTGAGTATAAGGGTTTCTTATGAATCTTTGCAAATCGCCTTTCCTAATAATGTGCTAGTTAGCAAGTTTCGCGGCTAAATGCAGCTAAATGCGGCTAAAGTAAACAGGATGGCTCGTCACCCCACAGAAGAGAGGGGCGGAGTCAGCAGAGCTCATTAGCATTGAAAGGGAAATGCAACAAAACGGCTTGCTTTGAAAAAAAACTAATTTTAACAAGGTAAAAAGGGTGTTGTTTTACACTACCATTGAGAAATTTTAAACAAAGTATGTTATAGACTTTTCATTAAGACCCTAAAGAATCATATCACCTTGTGGAAAATGGGCATCCAATGACCCCTTTAAGCTCAAATTCCTTGCTTTGTGTTTCAGCTCCTTCACAGAATATTCAAAACAGACATTCTTTCGTCTGCTCGTCTAGACTTTGGCATATGTTCTGTTTCATATGTGTTGAAGCGTGTACGGCAGATTAAACCCTGCACACAGAGCGCAGATGACGCAGGCTGATAGTTTTCCTCAGGTTAATCCTGCAGTGCTGTAACACCTGCCACATGCACAGCCTGCCACAGGTCTTGTCAAGTTCATCACCTAAAGTACCTATCGAACATGTCTGGAGACACTTGAATTATTGAGACTTGTCATGAAGAGCCTAGGGCGAAGATTTTACATAATCATCGCGTTCTGTTAAGACACACTTCTCACCCAGTTCTACTTGATCCTCTACTTGTGTGTTGGAAAGAAGAAGGGTGGTGTTTTTGGGCCAATTATAGTGGAGACCGGGGCTAGTTGTCACATGGGTTACACTACCGGTAAAAAGTTTGAAATAATTAAGATTTTTTTAATGGTCTTGAAAAGAGTCTCTTAGGGTCACCAAGGCTGCATTTATTTGATCAAAATATCAGTAAAAACAGGAATATTGTGAAATATTATTACAATGTTAAATAACTGGTTTCTATTTGAATATATTTTTAAAATGTAATTTATTCCTGTGATGCAAAGCTGAATTTTCAGCATCATTACTTCAGTCTTCAGTGTCACATGATCCTTCAGAAATCATGCTAATATACTGATTTGCTGCTCAAAAAAAATATTTATTTTCTTGTTTGGATGTTCGTTTCAAACACATAGTCCCCATTCTGTAGCCTACATACAGTGTGACAACATTTCCTGATTTTAGGGCATGTTGTCACCAAAAGTGAAAGAAATTAGTCTTTTTGTAGCCATTACTGATGTTTTTGCCTGACTTTTCAAAAACAAACCTCCCCTAAGAAATAATAACTTAAAGGAGCACTCCACTATTTTCGAAAATGGCCTCATTTTCCAACTCCCCTAGAGTTAAACAGTTGAGTTTTACCGTTTTCGAATCCATTCAGCCGATCTCCGGGTCTGGCGGTAGCACTTTTAGCTTTTAGCTAACGGTCTAATCAGATTCAATGATCTATGCTAAGCTTAGCATAGATCATTGAATCTGATTAGACCGTTAGCATCTCGCTCAAAAATGACCAAAGAGTTTCTAGAGTTTCAAGAGTTTTCTTAGTACACGATGTAACTACAGAAGAGTCAAGTTTTAAATAGGAAAAATATAGAAACTCTTTGGTCATTTTTGAGCGAGATGCTAACGGTCTAATCAGATTCAATGATCTATGCTAAGCTGCAGCTAAAAGTGCTACCGCCAGACCCGGAGATCGGCTGAATGGATTCGAAAACGGTAAAACTCAACTGTTTAACTCTAGGGGAGTTGGAAAATTAGCTTATTTTCAAAAATAGGAGTGTTCCTTTAAGTCAAGTAGCCCTGGTCATTCACATATGTAAATGTGTACTAAAATTAATTAGTTAAAAACTCTATACAATCCTAATGATTATTCTGTTGATGTTTATCTGAATTTAATTGACATTTCCAACTGTTAACTTGAGCATTTTACACTCCATTTAAAGCAATGAGCTTTAATGAGCTGAAGAGATCCAGTTTTATCCCTGACCAGCGGAGGAAAAGTAGGTTAGTGGTCCACTTACAGCTCTTCGGAGCAAACATCTGCTCCGTTTGAGCCTGGGAAGAGGAGTGGAAAATATGAGGCGTTCCTAGCGCACATGAGGTCTGTGTGCGCACAGACAACGAACTCCTTGTGTTCGATCAGCATCTGGTCCTTAGATGGCCTGTTTGCTGGAATGCCAAGAGAACGGAAAGGAAAAGACGTTTCCTCTGAAGGGAAGCTGAAGCTTGTGAAGCCAAACGACTCAATGAAGTAGAATCATATAAAAATGTTCGCAAATTTGTATTTTTATACTTTGGAGGTTGTTTTGCGTAAACTTTAGATGCAAACGTAATGTAAATGCTGGTGGTGAAAAGTTGCACAATGAAGTCTGTCAACACAGGGAAATGGATAAAAGATCTCGCCTCGGGATATGTAACACCCGTCTGTCTATTTGCACTTTGTGTTGTTTTACATTTAATCCCATCATGTTTTACCAACCTGGGTCATCGTTCTAGACATGGCAAAGCACATGATGTAACCACCATCTCTGGATCTTTTTGTACTTTTGACATGCAATAGCCTTGACTATGATATACAACCTCATTTCCACTTTGTCAGTGATTTATTGCCAGGAGTTTTTGTCTGAACATATAGGAACACCTGTGTTTGCCAAATATGTCAAGTTCCCTAGTGTAAATTGGTGTTCTTGAAGTATGTTCTAACAAGTAAAGGAAAACTAAACTTTAGTTTTTGTATAAAATGGCATATTTATTTAAACAGACTGGTGCAAAAACAGACAAACATACATGTTTTTTTTTGATGTGACATCATATAGACAACCTACAAAATGGTATAAAAGTTAGAAACAAGCCAAGAATACAAAACTATGTGGAAACACACTGAAAACACAGCGGATATTGCACCGTTCAACTTGGGAGTAGCTTAATACCCATTTCACCCATCAACCCCTGAAATGAAAAACAATGGAAGCCAGTTTAATTAGCTCTGGACCAGCCTGACTGCAGAGTAACGTCGCTTCCTATATGCAGTATGCATTACATGTTCAGTCTTTATGAGGGTTCTTTAATTCCCTGGAAGTGCATGTTTGAGAATGTTCTCGTAGTATCTAAGATAAAACAATAGAAAACAAAACAAACGGCAACAATTTTCACCATGACCCAAAGCACAAACATCAAGGTAAGGATGCATACAGTTCACAAAAAATACATAGTCCCCTTTTTAGGTATAGGTAAATGTCAGCACAGCACACAAATTCAGACATAAACCGAGATAAAAACAAACATGGTTTTTGTGCCAAGGCCACAAAGATTGTTTCATTAGTCCAAACGTGTAGCTAGTGACTCTAGTTTGTCTGTTAACAGCACATTTATGTAAACAAACATAGCTAAAATCAGATGTAAACGTCAGAGCATATGTTTGTCAAACTTGTGCATCATATTAGCCAAGCTTCGGTATAGGGTTGCAAAAACATTCCTGTGATGCAAAGCTGAATTTTCAGCATCATTACTTCAGTCTTCAGTGTCACATGATCCTTCAGAAATCATGCTAATATACTGATTTGCTGCTCAAAAAAAATATTTATTTTCTTGTTTGGATGTTCGTTTCAAACACATAGTCCCCATTCTGTAGCCTACATACAGTGTGACAACATTTCCTGATTTTAGGGCATGTTGTCACCAAAAGTGAAAGAAATTAGTCTTTTTGTAGCCATTACTGATGTTTTTGCCTGACTTTTCAAAAACAAACCTCCCCTAAGAAATAATAACTTAAAGGAGCACTCCACTAGTATACACTTTTAATGCAATCGATGAAAAGTGCTAAAAAAAAAAAAAAGGCCTACACCAACAGGCCACAGTCAGAAGAGTAGGGAAAAAGAAAGAGTCTAGTTAGCTCTTATTTGCACATATAGTACGAGGCTCTAAATGAGTTCTGGAGTGCAGTTCTCTGTGTATCTTGTAACAGCATGAGCGGGAGGACTAATTCAAGAATGTCTTGCTTCTCGATGACAGTCCTCTTCGTTTGCCGTCAATGGTATCTTTTCTTTCTCCACTTGAATCAGTGCCATGTTCAGTTTGATGCTCTCGCAGTTTCTTTCTAGCAGAAAGGCAATGTGGCATGTCAGAATCCCATCCATAATGCTTTCAGCAGGTCTTGTTGTATCCACAGTTTACAACGTTCTTAAAACGTTTCAAGAAAATCAATGTGGTAAAGCCACTTCTTTTAAGTCAAGAAATGACAAACAATTGACAAGTCTGTCATTGTTCTGTTGGAGTGGATGCAGGATGGTTGGAGTTATTTGTTGCTCTTAGAATAATGATCACCAAAAAATCTTCAAGATGATTCGGTCTGATCATTCAAATAAGTGAAGAATCACATCCAAAACAAGGCTGGAGATGTTTGGACACTGTTCTCACACTTAGTGGTGTTGCGTTTAATCCATCTTGGTGTCAAGGGCACAGTTTTCTCCAAACAAATCTTGTATGTACTCTTTTCACCAAGGATGGAGGGGGAGGGGAATCACTCAAGATCTTCAGTGGATTTTAGGGGCCGCTGAGCTGGACTCGACTCGGATTGGTAGTGTTTCCTGGAGGATATCCATCTGCGCACCAAGATGGCTACTCATGCCTCCTCATGAAGGAAGAACAAACCCCAGTTGAGGTTGTAGAGATAAGAGATCCCTGACAGCACTGGTCAGGCGTGGTCACTCCTTCAGCGGGATGGACAGGTATCTGGTCTCCTGTCCATGGAGCCGCACACCTGCTCAGGATGGGGATCAACCTATCAAGGGAGAAGAACAAGGTTTGAGAACACAGGAACTCAAATGCATTAGCAAGATAGAAGCTACAAAAAGTCTTTGAACTCAACGCACCTCAGAATACAGAGGCGGAGGTTGGAAGCGGAACTCATGGATGTAAGCATAAAGTGGTCCTTCAATCTCATCTCTCACAGCCGGGAGCTCCAAGTTGTTCTGTCGCTCCTCATTGGTGATGATTTCAGAGTAGCTTGGTGGAGCTAGAAGAGTTGAGGACAAAGCCAACAATTAGACCACAAAAGACTTCTAAACTGATTGTTTAATGTCAAACAGTCATGAAGTATCTTGAGCAATGGGGCTCAATCCTTCTCCTGGAGATCTAGCTTTGGATTAACTGGAGACTCTGGGAAGTAGACTCTAAAAGAAGGTGGTCCTCAAGGAGCAGGACTGAGTACCCATTATCGAAAGGGTCTAGGTAACAAGTTTAGGATTTGTGCCATACCTTCAGGTCTCTCAGGCAATCCCAACCAGCTCATAGCCATGCTGCACTGACTGCTGACAGAAGAGGTGCGACTGCCGAAGGAGTGGAGGGGAATGGTGCCGATCACCAAGGGCAGGTTCAGGGTTAAGTTGACAGCTCGAGGGATGTCCACATACACCTGTCGAGAAGCAAGAGGTTAGTTCCATGGCAGATATTGGCAAGCAGTTTGCTTTGTCATGAATCAAACAGATTGTAGACTCACCATGAGTGAATATTCCACATGGATGATGCTGCAGTCCAGAATGGAAGGCGAAATGGGTGGGATCTTCAGCATCTTGCCGTCCCAAGTCTCGCTCTTGCCAGGGGGTAGAGGATCTCCACGGAGGTTAGCTACGAGTTGTTTGATCTCCTTGACCTTCCCTTTGGCAAAGAAGGTCTGGGTTTGGTAGATGGCTGCCTTTGGCACGACCACACGGGAAGAGCAGTTTTCAATCTCTGCGAAGATCTGGATGGACTCTCCTGCAAAGAAAACCAACCAAATTCATTCACTCTGAATGATAAAACGTTCATATTAGTTAACTAGTGGCTAACTGTCCACCAACAAGCAGGTTTATCATCTCACCTGGAGTGTAGCCCTTCCTCTCGATTTTGGCACTTAGTGATACAGGCCCTGAGGTGCAGAACCAGCAGCAAAGGGTTTTGTCCTTTGTGCCAGCCTGAGGAGACTATAAATGAAAAAGTGACAATATATGAACCTCTGAAATCATACAACAGCTCAAGCAAAAATTCAGTTTTACGTTATAAGGTACTTAGGCTTCAAATGCTTTTCTCTTACCAGTAACAATGGAGTGTTGATGTCAATGTGCTCAAAGACGGTGAACTCCTTCTTGGTTTTCATGGGCAGGAGCCATGGCCTATGAAGCTCCGCCTTCAACCAGTACCGTACGCTGCCGTGTTTGCCTTCAAAGGATGTCGCCAAAGGCCTGGAAAGAGACATGAAAAAATAATGTAAGTGTTTTGGTCGATACATTATATATGTGTATAATCAGGCAGGAGAGTTACTTACGTCTGGGGCAGTTCGAGGCTGAAGAGAAACTCGTGTCGCCCTGAGTGAAGAACGGTGAAGCCCTCGTCACAGCTTTCATCATCTAAAACAAAGGAGAATAAAACTCGATATACCAATATACTATACCTGTAATATTCCTCAAGAATCCTAAACACAAGACAAAGACACGACCCACATTGTCTAGTGCTTCAATGAATATAGGAATAGAACACAAAATTTTAAAACATTACAAAACAATGTCAGCATAAGAATGTTTTTTTTTACAAAACCTTTTTGAAGTGGGAATAGAAGAGCAAACTGTCCATAATTTGGTGTAGTATGTTTTTATGCTTTTCAAAAGAAAAAGGGGTGAACCTTGTCACATCACTAAAACCTTAAATATATGAACATACAAACAAAACAACTAGTTAAAAAATGCAATGTTCTAAATTCACAACAAAAATGAATATAGGAATATTTAGTCTTTAGTCTTAAATGTGTTTATTTTTTTAGTAAAAGATATTTTGATGTATTTTCATAGCTTTTGTTCATTCTTTTACTTCCACCTCAGCGGTTCTACAGACCAGTGTAAATAACTATGGCCATAAATAAATACACATGTTGAAGCAGTTGTTTTCATTCATCTTTATTTTTTAAATGTATTTGTCTCTTCTTTTTATTGCCACCTCAGCAGTTCCACAGCCTGCTGTAAGTAACTATGAGCCTGTCACTCGAAGGCAGCCAAGAGCTAGAGAGGACCGGACTGAACTGGCGCGAGCAGCCTCTCTCAGCCGGATTTCCTCATGCATATATTACTAGTCGACTCCTGATTGCCTGAGCCGGGGTGTTTTTCTCTTGAATACGCCCCCATAAGGAAGCCACATGTGTACTGCAGCATGGTTTAGGTGCAAAAGAAAATGAAACACACATAAAAAAAAAAAACTCCATACGAAAATAAATACAGTTTGACTTAGTTTATTAGTAGAAAAGACTTCATTACAAAAACAACATAATTACTTTAATGGTTGTTACAGAGTACATTAAATTCAGTTTGACAACATACCTCAAAATATTACATTGCAGAATATAAACACATGTAACTTTTACAGTTGACATAAATCATGCTAACCAGTGGCATAGGAAGCGAATTCATTTGTTTTTCTTGCTGTTACAGTTTCTTTATTAGGCCAAAATATTTTTAACAAATGCAGAATGATGCATAAGGTGAAGAATGAAAATATCACATTTTAATGAACTTTCAATCAGTCCTGCATTGTTGCGAATAAGTTGCATCGCAGTCTTGACACTTGGGCAAGGATATGATATCACCAGGGGGGCACACGAGCACTTCCACCAATCAGCGAAGAGATAGGAGTGACCTCAACCAATCAGCGTGCAGAGGCTCGGTCCGCAAAACCCCCTCTCCACCAGTTTCTGAACAGGTTTAAACCGCTTCTAACAAAGGCTAAAAACTTACTAGAACCGTCTATGAAATAAACTGGAACTTATCATTTAAAAAAACGCATGACACGATATGATAACATAGTGAATATCGATATAAAAAACGTTTATTGCAGATATTAAACGAAAATATTTAAAGTAAAAGATTAACTGGCTGTTTTGGACAGAAGGGCTTGTTGTTTATAAGCTCTGGTGTTCAAACGAACAACTTCATTTAAGCATTCACTTTGCTGGAATACTTTAAAAATAATTCAACATCTGATTCAAGATGTTTGTTTTTACATTTAATTCCAGTATTACTGAAATAAAGTCTTTGGTAGCAAGGAAGATGTTTCAACCAAGCATCATCTGCATAAGGGTTCATAAAGAAATCTTGTATTTCTCGTTTCTTTCTACCTATGCCAGTGGATTAAACTCTTCACAGAGAGGAAACTAAAAATGTAATATTTCCAATCAAACAAAAGACACAATGTAAGGAGCATCTGTCATTGCAGTCCCATCTTTCATAAATAAAAAGTGCTTCATTAAAATGCTCCTTACCTCTATCATGTCCAATAAGGACGTCTCTGTGGTTTAAATACTCCACTTCTTCAGTGAAATTCTGTGTGTAGGCAGTGTTGGATCCAGCATTACGTGATTCAGTCCAGCGAACTTTCGCCAGTCCCTTGGCGTGAATGTTCAGAGATTTCACGCGAATTTCTCCGGTAACTTCAATGATCACCCGACCCGAGACAACGTCCCCACTGGCAAAGACAGGGACATTACTGTCATTGAGACAGTCGTAGCTGACAAAGAAGTTTTTCACCTTTCCGAGCACCATGGTGGAAATCTTACTAAGCTGTAAGATATTTAAAATAAAAAGAGCGAATCATCTGTCAGATGTTTCTATGAAAGAAATCATCCAAGGCTTGTGCCGTGCAGAAAGGCTGCAGGCAGGTTCACTGCTATACTTGTCTGTCATTCATTGAGTTTTGCTGTAACTGCATGTGAAGATGCAGCTGTATCTCTGCGCTCTGGCTCTGACTCTGCTTTAATACCTCCGTTTGGTGGAAAAACAACCGGACTGCGCATGCGCAATCGATAAGACTACTGCTGCTGCTGCTCCCTTCTTCCGCCTTCCTATGCTTCAGTGTCTGTTGTATTGTTTAAAAGTAGCCTGTCTTCACAGACTCGTACATCCAAGTGTTTTACTAATAAACTAGTGACTGCCTAATAGTATGCCTACATTACGATAGGATGCAATACTACATCGTGGTGTGAAAAAAATACAAATGTGAATACAGTATCACAGTGAAACAAAAGAAAGTGGAAGGAAATAGAAACAAACCGACTTGATTCCAGATGTACAATTGTTCATGCGTTGTTGACATCTAACACAGAAGTGAAACTATGCTTAATTAAATTTGAATGTACTCGCATGAATGAAATCACTCATTAGACTTGATAAAAAACGCTTTTTAGACTGATTTAGCAAGCTTTAAGAGCTAAGCTAACATTTTTCATGTGGAATTTTTCCCCTATAGATGGCTGTAATTGTTAATTGATGTTTTCATGACATGTATTGTTTTAGTGTTTTGTTAAATCTCATCATTTCAAGCGTGGGGCTTTCATAGTTATCCCGTGTCTCTTCACTGCCACCTGCCTGATAAAGGGGGTTATTGCATAATGCAACTTCTAAATAGCATACTTTATTCATTTAAAGGTGGGGTAAGCGATTTCTGGTAGCCAATGTTGACATTTGAAATCACCAAACCAAACACGCCCCTACCCCAAAAGGGTCTCGCCCCTATTTTGATAGCTCCGCCCCACACATACGTACGCAACCCAGGCAACGATTAGTTCTGTGAAACAAAGCAAAACCAATACTACACCGTGTCTACACTGGACGCGAGTTGCGCGACAAAATACTATAGAACTCATTATAATCAGTGATGCGGTCTACACAATAGATATATATATATATATATCTATGGTCTACACTGGATGCGGTGCGGCACGACACGACAAATCCCCGACAGAAAACTGCTGCTGCGTTCTATTTATGACATATTGACAAATTTAAAATGATTTTCAACGGTCGCTTTGTCGCGTCCAGTGTACTAGAAAGACTTTAGCTGTTGCGGCGCAGACACAGTGTTACTCACCTATCGAGAAGAAACAAAGCAACCTCGGCGTCCAATCGCAGGCCTTCCGCTCCTTGAGTTCTCTCCAGCACTGGAAAGCTGATCCGATATTTA